GGAGGATAAAGAAGCTGTGCCCGCAACCCTGCTACGTGAGAGGGCATGAGAGAGGTTCTTGCCACAAGTCTGTCCAAAGAACAAAATGGATGCAGTCGTTGGGGGGCTAAACAAATGGTCGGATTTGCTACCCCCATCCTCAAAAACCAAAAGGAACCCTGCTGAGTTCCTGGCGAAATGGTGAGACAAAATGGGTCTGACCCCAATGGTGGGGCGGGGGGGGGGGGGGGGGGTCGGATAAAAGTGACTTACACATGAGTGCCTGTGTCTCCCCCTCCCCTCCTTGTGAAGCTCCTTGTAAGACTCCTTTTGAGGTTCCTGAATGACAATGCTCCTACAGGAATTAAGTCTATTATGGAAATATTCTTTGAAAAGGGAAATCGTAAGGACATTCTATTGAAGCTAGAACATTCCAGTGAAGCTAGGAATTCTACTAGAGCATTTTCATTCTTCATGAAACGGCTCCATACAAGGATCCTTGTGCAGCTCCTTATGAAGCTGTGGCCAAAGCCTGTTGACGCTCACTCGTAATGCTGCTCATAAGACTTATCACAAAGCTCCTCATAAAGCTCTTTAGAACGCTCCATATAAAGCTCCTTGCAGGACTTTTAATAAAGCTCTTTATTTGAGGTCCTTTTAAGCTTCATTCTTCGCTCCTTGAAAAGCTGCTTGTAAGGCTCCCTATAAAGCTTCTGACAAAGATGCGTCCAAGGCTCTGTATCGGCTCTTTCACAACATTGGATTCTAATTGAAGCTTAATTAGAATCTAGATAAAACTCAATAAGGGCATACTTCAGTTAGATGTTCTATGTTGAATGAGAGTTTGAAGTGGGATTTCTTCCATAAAGGAGGTAAACTTAACAAGGGAATAATTTTAATACGATTTCTATGTCAATTGGAATTGAAATGTGAATCCCGTTAAATAAGATTCAATTGTGCATTTAATGTTGGAAGTCTTAGAAGTGAAGAGGGAATAATTGCGATTGAATGTCTATTTCAATGTAGAACTGAAGTAGGAATTCCTTTCCAGATAGGACTTTGAAAAAAAGTAAGTGCAATGCAAATGCGATGTGAATGTCAATTTCGATTGAAAATTTGAATAGGAATTCCATTCCAAAAGGCGGGTGGGAAGGTAGTGGGTAGTAGCAGACGAGCAGTGGAGCAGATTTGCCCAGGCGCAGATGAGCAGAGACAGAAAGGTGGCGGATGGCGGGAAAGGTTTGCAGGTTTGCAAAGATGGAGGATGCGCAAAGGTTTTAAAGGTAGATCAATGGGGGGGATGAGCATATATGTTTGTATCATACCATATCATATCACATTATTTATTTATAACGGCACTCTGCGCCAGTCGTCTGCATGCGTCTCAGGAATACACGATTGGTTGCTTGTTTAATGGGATTCAAGATTCAAGCAAGTTCTTTCCGAGAATCTTGACTCTTGCATCCCAAAATCTTTGCGGTTGAGGTGCTTTTCTTGTTCTGGCCCCGGCCTTTTACTCGCCCCGTCTCCTCCTTCATGTGGCTCTAAAGAGGGCTGGGAACCCTTGCTTTGTCTTGCTCGGACTATTGGCTTTGATTTGGTGGCAGTTCAGAGTTGGGCTGGTTTCGGGTGAGTGTTGGGCTTGATTAGGTCTTAATGAGTGCGAGTCTTGGGGTCTGCTTGGGGTTCATTTCGGCTCGGAAAACGGCTGATTTCCAGGATGCTGTTGGGAGAGTCAAGGTTGACGTGGAATCAGTTCCGGTTGGCTTGGAGCTGATTTGCGCTAGGTGTGCGGCCGGTTTAGCAGTGGCTTTCGGGTTGCTTTGGGGATGTGGTTGGGCGAGTTTTGGGCTGTTCTGGGAGTGGTTGTGGGACAATGACCCAAACCACAAAAACTAGCCCAAAACTCACCCAACCACATCCCCAAAGCCCAACACTCACCCGAAACCAGCCGAACCCGAGCAACTCTTGAACTGCCACCAAATCAAAGCCAATAGGCAGAGCGAGGCTGGTGAACTCTGGCCAATCAGCCCTGACACCAAGTAACCGGGGATGCGGCCACCCAGTCGACCAACCAACCAACCAACCAACCAACCAACCAACCAACCAACCAACTAACCAACCAGTCTCCTGGCCGGGGCTAAGCCCCGAGCCGGGGCTAGAAAAGAAACGGTTCCAATCTTTGCATAAAAACAAAAAATATTGCGCCGTGCCAATACTCCAGGCTTCCAAGCATGGATTTGAAGAATTCAAAGGCTGACAAAGAGTGATATTTCCAAGCATCAAATTGAGGATGTTTACTTGCCAGTATAAACGCAATTTCGTGATACACAACCTGAGTGCTACATATTCAAGGGGCTCACAGAAATCATGGACTATGTTGGGCACTTTCGACCGGCCAGGGGGTGCACACCCAAAACGCTTGAAGGTGTCCAACCAATGTTCATCGTACATTCCCACCGAAACACGCCTGGTTCCCTTTGTGTGGGCGTGGGTCCCCTTTTGGACACGAACCAGAAAAAGGGCAAAAGGCCTAAACCTTTGAAACGACAACTCCAGACTGTACAACAAAACCATTGTAGGGCCCGCGGGGAATGAACGAAGGGTCAACCTGTGATACACCACCTGGACAAAGCGAAAGTAACGAGAGGAAACTGCGATGTTAAACGCGAAAGCCACCGAAGGCTTGACAATGTTCAATGAGAAAGCTACAGAGCAACCAAAAAGTGGGGAACCTCTAATGTTGACCCTCATTAATCAACCCCAGTTTACTAATAAGGAGGTGCCGGGAATCAGACCACTTTCGGAGGGGCCCAAAACCACCCCCTATGAATAAACTGGGGTTGATTGACTACCATGTCCTTACAGAACTCCTGATAGCTTAGCTCCCTCTTTAAAGATTCGCAAGTTTGGATACCCCTAGCTCCTTGGCTCCCTTCCAACCACTTGTTCATATGGTGTCAACATTCCCAGGGAGTCTAGGGGTAACTTTCCCATTCTTTCCATGGATCCTTCTTTCTAGAAAACCACAAAAACCCCTGGGGAAATTGCTAGTTTTTGAAAAGAACAATGGCTGAAAAGAATGGAAAAGGAATCCTCCCCCCCCCCCCACCAAACCCCACCCCCACCAACCCCTGCCCCACGAACCCCTGCCCCACGAACCCCTGCCCCACGAACCCCTGCCCCACCAACCCCCCCCGCCCACCCCAACCAACCCCTACAATCCTGGAATCAACCCCTGCAAACAGGTGCCCATAATGGAACCCTGGCAAATCGAACCAAGGACCAAGACCTGTCCTGGTAAATAAGTCTTGACCCATACCCACCAGAAAAAAAAGGGGGACACAAAAAACAAAGAATGGCAAAACGGCAAAAAGGTCGGCGGACGTGGGCGGAACGCTCTCGCCTCGACGCAGCAGGGGCACTCCGCACCCCCCACACGGAGGTTGAGCTCCACCGGCATCACCGCCTGACCCCGGTGTCGCGCTCTCGGGTTTCGGGTGGGGCTAAAGCCGGGGAGCCGCGCTTCCTTCTCTTCCACTTGCTTCAGCCCCCTGGAAAAAAGAAAAAATACTTCCAGTAGTGATAGATTCCTTTAAAACCGAGGAGGAACAATTTAAAGAAAATGGTCTTCAGAAAATGGAAGTAGGAGAATTCAGCCGTGACGTCTGTTTAGCACCTGGTAAATGGGTGAGGAATCCCCAGATCATCCTACCAACTCCAAACTGTAAAGGCAGGTTGCATGGTAGAGGGTGTACTGTGATTTGGCCATGGGTCAAAATCCCGTACCCCCAGTGAACATCCCCATCCCCACTAAAATAGGTTCCAAAATCGGTGGTGAATTCACCTGCCCCAAAATGGAATCCCAACACGGTTTTGACCACCACAGCCATTTGTTAATGAGACAAAGCCAACCATTCAGCTCGAAAGTTCGGAGGCCCGGGCTGTCGTAACCTCCACGAGCTGGGGAGTGGAATTTTCCGTGCTTCAGGAATCAGGACAGGTGCTACTTTTTTGGGATGGTTCAAAGAGGAAGCCAGAAACAGGAGTCCTTTAGTTTTGGAAAAATACCCACATGAGTCAAGCCTGAGCCCGAATGAAAGGATGTAGCCCAACATGGCCTCAATGTGTACCACTGACCTTCAGCCAATCATCACATGTTGACTTGTGTAGCCGTAAGCAAAACCAAAGTCTGAAGAAGCCAGAAGGCATGTAAGAATAGGTGGCCTTTGGGAAAAATAGATGGCGCTATGGAATTCCAAGCCAGTGCCATATCTTTTTAACCAAACTAACGTAAAAAGGACACATATGTAAGACTCTACCAAGGTCTGAGGGTGTGTGTCTGGCTTCAAGAAATACTCGTAGCTGAAGAGTCAAAAAGCCGGGATGGCTCCCCAGTAAAGAGGATGCAATCCTAGGGGTGCAAATCTTCACAGCCTTTGTGCTGTTGGGAATGTGTTGGTCTCATGTCATAAAACTTGGGCCCCGAAGATGCGTGGATCCAAGCTTCAAAGGACAGTGTTGCATTGCCCAAAAGACTCCAAAGATCGACTAAACCTGGGCTGTCCTCACATCCCCTGCTAAAAGTTTAACTTTCAGTGAGTTGAATGGAAACCCAACCACTACACCCGAAAAAGCTAAAAAGCTAAGGGGATGGCTGGAGCCACCAAGAAATGAAGTGAACATTACCAGGTAGCAACAGGCAACAAGACCGCTCCAACCGGAACTCGCGTTAATATTGGCTTTTCAAGTGGATTCGCCCCCATGGCATCCCTTCCCTGATAGATCCATTTACCTGTATAGGGATCCACTGGGTTCTACAGCAAATGAGCAAATGGCCATTGAAAAGTGACATTGCTGATGTGACACACATCGAACAAGTCAGAGCCAAAGCTCCTTCGCCGTTTCCACCCAGTCGACAGACGTCCGGCGGCCTTGGTCTCCAGATTCACCAACGCCTAGCGCGAATCTTTGCTCACCGATCCAAAGTCCAAAGCTACCTGTGCAGGAAACCAAGTCATCATGGGCCTGAACGTCGGTCGCGAACCAAAACCTTTGGTGAATCCACCAAACCATCTCATCATGGGCCACATCCATTGCAAAGAAAAACCTTTGAGGTTGCTAACAACAAACCTGAAGACAAGAACTGCTTTTGCCAGCCCCCTTTTCCTGAGGTCGAGCTTTGACTCGCCCACGGATCTCTGCCTCTGGAACTTTCTCTGCCTCCGTGAGTCACAAAAGGCCAACTGGAACCGCGCAGGGCCGGAAGGGCGGAAAGATTCCATGCAAAGATCCTGGAGCCCAAAATTGATACCTGACGAAACCTCTGCCGTCCGTTTTCAGATCCCCTACCCCCCCCCCCCCGAACCAACCGAACCACTGAAAACCCGAAGGAACCAGACGGCTGGGAGCCACCGAGCTGGTGAAAGGCAAAGGAAACAGAAAGGGGAGCAAAAAAAATAAAATAAGAAATAGCGGTTAAGTGGTTGGATTTTTTTCAACCACCAAACCACAATAAGGAAAAATGGGGGGAAAATGTTTCCCAACGACAACCATGATGTTGACTTCTCAACCTTTGAGCCCCATGGGGAAGAAGCTCGAAGCGAGGCTACGTGAAAACCGGGGCGAATCCCCGGATTTCGCCAAGCGCAGCCCAATGCCTTCAACTCAGAGAAACCCAAATTGAGCCCCAAGGTGCTTGGCCATGAACAAGACCGGCACCCATTTGTTGGTGCTTGGTTTCTAAGGAAAACTTTTCCGGGAAAGAGAAAAAAGGAAGGGCTTCACTGGAGGTCTAGGAAGCTAGGGAACACTGAAGCACCAAGCCAATGCGCCTTGAGCCCCAGACATGAATCGGGGAGTCATGTTGATGCCCGAAAACATTCACGCGAACAGGGGGCAGGTTCTGAATCAAGGGTCCAGAAAGGGGAACTGTAAGGACCTGTGACTCAAAACAAACCAGGCCAAAAGGAAATAGCCCTTCAAAGTCAACAGCCGCGAAACGGAGAACTCTGAGGCGAAGCGAAAAAGCGGCCTTCACCCTCCAGGCGCGCAGCCAGTTGCGCAGCCAGTTGCGCAAGTTGCGAGCTCCACCGCGGTCAACACGACCAGAGAGGACAAGCCGCCCCGAAAACACAGATGGCTTTGGCTCAAAATTAAAGAGCTAGGGTTACGCAGGATTTAGTCTTTGGTTCCAATGGCCACGGGTCCCCTCTTTGGTACATGTTTTTGAGCCACAGCCAGATGGAAGTGCACCTTCGACCCCTTCAGACTTTGGGAAGGCCGACTGCGCACTTCCAATCCCTTGGTAGGGCACTTAGCTGACTTAGCTGGGTTGCAATCCCATCTGCAGAAAAGGCGGTCACTGTGTTCCACGATCTTTAAAGGGAAGTCGAAACCAACCTCCACGCGGTCCACGCGGCTACACCCGCAGTTGGCTTCGAAATGGCAAGCCCGAGCCCGCCTCAAAGTGGAAGGCCGAATGGAGGCCCGGGCACGCCGCCACCACCTGACAGCCCGAGCCAAGCCCCCACGCGCCTGGAGCGACGCCCATTCTTCGAGGGGACGTCCTGGTTTGAACGCAAAAAGCGACCTCCTTTGGTTTCCCTGGAGATCTCGAACCAGGGTCTGGCCGTTTCCCCTCTTTCCAAAAAACATGGCAGCTGAAGGCAAGGTGTTGGAATACCCCCAAACCTCCACGTCCCTGATTGTTGGGAAGAGGGTGAGAATGACGATAATATACCAACCCAAGCTAATGACATCGACAACCCCTTGGAGACAGTCACACACATGGGCCCCAAATCATCTTCCAGGCTAATTTGTAATGCATTCTCCAAAATCAGAGAACAGATGTGCGAGACATCCGCAAAAAAATCACCGGCCCCACATCTGCGAACCAAAGTCCAGTAGGTTGCTGTTTTGCTTGTTCTGGGTTTTGTGGGGTTAACTCGACTCTCGCAACTTTCACGGGTGGCAAACGAGAAATTGTCCCCCCTAAAAGTGCAAGTCTAGAACCCTGTCCAAAAACACTCGTCCTTCACCTGCTGACAAGGAGGCCGCAATCTAGCGCAGAATTGGCTGAAAAATCAATGTTGGCACGAATTCCTTTTGGAGTCCTTGCAACTGATAGAGGCCCCCCAAATCAATCGGCAAACCCTTGGTACAGCAGATAGATCCATGCCCCAATCACTTAATTCCCTCCAAAAATATAAGCAGCAACAGCAACTCTGATAAGGTCTCTGACCATAGCATGCAATGGGAGAATTTAATTGATTTCTTAAGATGGGAGCCAGCATATGTCCGCGCACCGTGGCTTCCATACAGCTTGCAACTCAAACGCCGGTGTACAAAGGCCCTGCCCGAAGATGTATGACCCGCCCGCGACAAGGGGCGTGCGCTTTTGGTAAAGCTCGATGCTTGCGTGATGCAGTGACATGTGGAATTTGTGATCCTCCAACTCCTCTGGACAATTCGGCCACATCCACTTGCCAGGAAAGACGCCCCAAAAAATAGGCCACTGTTTCTTGGCTGAGGCACTTCCACATAGAGCTGTGCGGTCGGGGGACATCAAAAGGAAAGCCACAGCCGGACGCAGAGGCAGACAAGTTCATGTCTGTTCGTCTCAGCACGTTTACGCGAGGAATGCCGGAGATGCGGGCGAGGAACAACCAGCCTCAAGGCACAGTGAAATCACTGCATGTACATCTCTGCGCTATTGCGTGAGGATAGCTGAGACATCGGTTCGCACGGAGTGACAGGTGCTCCATGACGGACCAAGCAAAAACTCGAACGACTACAAACACGACCAGGAACAGTGAAGGAAGGGACGCCCAACCAAAAGAAGAACACAAGAGGGAAACCCGTGGTTGGTGAATTGCGCTCAAAAGAATACCCACTCCAGCCAAATGTGGCAAGCGACAAGTTTGTGGTTTCCCCTTTACTCCAACGATTAATTCACCATCTCACCCATCGTTCTCTTCAGAAACCGCTCATGTCTCCCGCCATTTTCTGAAGACAAGGATCCCACATCCCAGGACAACATCCCAACGCACAGGAGGGTTCCAAAGTCTGGGATACGCATGTGGCCGGATACCAAAGGATCTGCGATAGTCCCAAGCTGGGACCCGTCCTCAACCACTTTGTTTTTCACGAGGCCTGGAGCTGGCTGCTGGTCGCGCGGACGCGCAGGACCAAGTCCCACGAGCCAACATTGGGCGCGTCTTTGTTGAGGGTACCCCTCTTCGGGGGTCGCTGTGGGTCAAAATTAAACCACCAGGCAACCGCAGGTTTTAGTCCATGCTTCCTTTTACCAGGGTTCTATTCTGGGTACCTTTTTTTGACCCACAGCCAAGTAGGGATCACCCTAGCATAGGTGTCCTTTTCTTTGGAAATAGATTTGGGTTTCCCTGGTAGATGAGAAAAAACCACCAGGTAAGCCAGGAATCGCCATGCTATTTTTCGAGCAACACAACCGAAAAGGACACCTATGGGGACAAGTGGAAACACACCATTTCGTTGGGTTTTCCAACCTCTTGTCGGACAAGCCTGCATCTCAGAGTTGATTGGCCAGTAAAAGGAACCAAGCTTTTTGTTTGCCAACAAAAATGGTCCAAGCCCAAAAAGTGAGTCGCTCAGATGCCCAGTGGCCAGGGGAAACAAGGGCATCCTTTTTTGGTTGCTTGAGTTTAAAGGGAACCCTTCCCAAAACAAGGAGGAAGCATCAACCCACTGGTTGCAACTGGGGTAAGTCCACAAACCCATGGAAGTGAGGCACACAGCCTGCCTGGCGTGTGAGCGCTTCCAGCTTCTGCTGCAGCTCCTCCGGCAGCTGCGAGGGATACCTGAGACGAGCGGGGCTCGTTTCCTGCCCAGGGACAGCCTCGAATCTTGGCTGCTGGGAGGCAACCCTCTGCAAAAAGTGTTTAGCTGTTTGTGGGTCCAATGAAGAAAAAACAAAAGTTTCAAACAGTTAAAGTCCAAAGATGCGTTACCATCTAGATAAACCTCTAACCCAGTGGATCCATTCACCTGGGAAAGGTAGGAAACCTAAAAACCAGAAGGAAAATAGCGAAGGGTTGCCTACTATAAGGGCTTGCCTAGAATCCACTGAGTTTGGTCAAGAAACAAGTCAAGACTTGTTGGCGGTTTATCACGCAAAAGGTTTAGAATCCAGAGAGAAACTCGGGCTAGGTCAAACACAAAACCAATCTATAGGTTGCCCCCCATTCTTGTTCCCATTCTTTGATTCCCTTGGAGCTTAATTGATCGTTTGAAAGACTGGACCCACTGGACAAAGTGGATATCAAACCTTGTTTTCTGCAGTGTTTATGCATTTGTGTACATCTTCATACATTCATGCGGAAATGCCCAAAAATGGAACCATCTCAAGCAAGAGCACCACTCAGCGTTCCCCTTAAGCCAGAAACTTCCTAACCAGCCAGAACGGTCCTTCAAAGTGTAAACGCCAAGGGCAAATCCCCTGACGGTCGTGGACAATGGCTGTGCCGTCAAATGCTTAAATGGGCGATCGGGTACGTCAGGTAAGTGGTAGTAAGCCTGGTGAGAAAAAACTCACTGAACGCAGACTTATAACAGTGGTTCTTGTGGGTTATAACCGTGGGTGTTACCCACTTACCTGGCGTACAATGCCCCTCTAAGTGTATCTGTCCACATGCTATCCACCGTCTTATAAACCATCCGCTTCTGATTTCCTTTGAGCACATTCCAAATCGCAGCAAGCAATCACCAGGTCAAATCTGACATGTATCCAGCCCAGCCCGTTGGGCAACCGTTTCAAGCTTCGCAGGCCATCGTGCAAGAAAACGGAAGCCTCCAAAGATCCTGGTGCCTTCGAATCCCCTGGCAGTGAAGCCTCCTAGCTCCGGTCTGAAAACGCCTGATTTTTGTGTGCCTCTGGCAGCTTGGAGTCAAACGACGTCAAACGTATGCTTTGCGGTCTTGTGTGCTTTATGTGGTTTGCGTTTGTTGGTTTACAAGAAACAAACACTTTATTTGTTTATTTTTATTAAAAAAAGAAAAACAAGAAAACAACGGCCATACTGCGCAAAGTTGAAGGATCCAGTCCTAAACTGGCGATGTTTACGGTTCTCCAACAAAACACACACATCTGAAATGGGACAGCATCGAATCTTGGTTGCTGGAAGGACCCTATCTGCAAAAAACGGTTTAACCTTTTATGGGTCCAATGAACCAAATCCCAACAGTTTCCATCAAACAGACAAAGTCCAACGATCCGTCACCAAGTAGCCATAAACCTCTACTCCAGTCGATCCATTTTTTCCTGCACAGTAGGTAGCCCAGGTCACCAAAGGGCTCCCCACCCCATATAAAATCCAAAAGGACAGCGAAGCGTTGCCTGTCCAACTTGCTTCAGCCCCTTGGAAAAAAAAAGGCCAATTCCAGTGACAGATTCAAGGAATGGAGGGGTAAAACCCGAGGGGCCCTTCAAAGCCGGCTTTGAAGTGTAAACAAAAAGCAACAACATTCACTTCAGCCAATGGACGGAAGTGCCCCTTCCCTTCCCCCGACCAAAAAAGACACAAAAACAGTCTAATTCAGCACATGGGACGGACGCTTCCCTTCCCGTCTGCCCTTCTGCTCTCATAGGTCTCATAGGGCAAGGCGCAGGCCCCCGGTCTCGCAGCAGCCCTGGCCCAGCACGGGCTTGTTGTCGGAGATGAGAAACCACTCCACCTGGCCCTCCTGCGACACACTGGAGGCGCTGAATTGGTGCGATCGGTTTTTCTTTGCCTCAAGCCAAACAGCGGGTGCTTTGGGTTCTTAACAAATCCAAAAGACGATTCCCCCCAAACAAAAACATGACGCGCCATTTCGTCAACGAAATCACATGCGATCGGGAGGGAAGGACTTTCCCAGTTCGGGGGTTGGGAATGAACCGGATTTTGGGGATTCCCAAAACCATAGGGAATGGTTTATAGGATTTATACGTTGACGTTGGAACCGGCTTTTGGGGGAGTCCCGAAGAAAGAAAACCAGAGGGAATGGTTTGGATGTATCATTCGGGGTCCTGAGGGCCAGCAAGTTTCTTTGCGGAACCCCTTCTTGGTTGGTTGGAAAGTGGACCCCAAAGGGGAAACTCAAAGCATTTGGGTGGCCTCCTTTGACACATAATTCCCCACCTGCTACAACCAAATTCCGAACTGTTTATTGATTTAATACGAAAAACCCCTTCGTTGGCAAAAAGCTATTCTGTCCTAACATCCCTTGGCAAAATGCACCGAAGTGTGGAAGCGGACCTTCGGACCACCCCAAAAATCCGCTTCCACAGGCTCACAACTTAGGATCCGCCTGCTACCTGCAGCACCTGATCTGTATATCAGGCCGCCTTGTTTCGGTGGAACGCCCGGAACAACTCCCTTTCTCCAACATGGAGTTGGGAAGGAAAAAAACATCTCCGTGCTTTGAGTGTTCTGGTTCATTTGAGCGCCCAAAAGCCACATTCAGTCCCACTAAGATGCTTACATAGATTGAAACCTGATAAGATCAGGTAGTCGAACCACCCACCAACATGGCCAATGCACGTTTTGGGCGCTGCTCGTTTGGGTGGCTTTCGATTGCAGGGTTCCATGTGGTATTCTGCGCCCGGAATTCGCCACTGTTGACCAACAGGCCATGCGTTCTGGCAGAAGAACACCCACCGGCAGTGAAGCTTTGGGCCGTTTGGGCGTTTCTAAAAGTAGGAATTGGACACCGTTGGCAAAAGCCTCAAAACTGAATTCAGAGCTCAAGCCCACCCGAAGAAACATGTGTGTAGCCCAAGTGAGGTCAGGGTTCCACTTTTTGACTACTCCAAGATAGACTTAAACCCAGGGATTCTCCTTGGGGGGAATGAACCACGCCTGAGTTTGAGTCTATCTTGGGGTAGTCAAAAAGTGAAACCCAAGTGCGATTGCACGACAAAGAACCTGGAGCCAAGAAGAAACTGCTACCAGCAGTTTAAAACGGGAGACGGTGTCCAGAAATTCCATTGCAAAGAAACCAAGGAGAGACCTCCAAAGGAACCTTCACATGGGTGTCTCTTTAGGAGACCCCCCAACTGGCTTCGGTTTTCCTGAGCTTTCCTTTTGGTTTTCCTTTTGGCTCCCTTTGCTCGAGCTGGTTTCTCCGTTTGGTTTTTGTTTTGGTTCGGTACCCTCTTAACATGGAAGCTGACAGATTGGTGGGCGGTGGTACCCTCCCACCCACCAAAACAAGGCAAGAAAAAAGGACAGCCCCAACCGGTTGCAAAACGCCCCGAATTCGCAACTCGCTCGCTAGAAGGTCGAAAATTCTCCTTGGCCCAGCCGTCGATGTCCACCTCCTGGCCCGTGAACCACTCCTCAAGGATCCACCCCGCCGCAATGTCGCCCTGATGCGCGGCTTCGTGTCAAACCCCTGCGAAAACCCCTGGCTCCCGGATGACAGGACTAGGAAAACCGAAAACAATAATCCTCTAGGTCCTCCAGTAGAGAGGTTAGAATAAGGGTGCCAACTTTTTTCTGTAGTCTATTTTAGTAGGGGAACCCTCCCCAAAAGATGGGTAAAAGGGCACTACTACTGGGAGACCGAGTCCTAAGCTTGGGGTTTGGTCATCGTTAGGAACGGCCAAAGCAGCTCACGAAAGTCCAGCACAACAGAGGCTGAATGCTACGCCTTAACAAATGGGGATGAACCATCTGAATTACAACAAGTTCACAGAAATAAAGAAACGGAACCTCGGAAGAGGAACATTCATCTTGCAAACCAAACACTTTGCCCTGCAAAGGAGCCCACCCACGAAACAAGGATCGGCTGAACGAGGGCGCCGGTTTCCCGACGGCCTTGAGGCCAAAGCCGGATCTCTGGCAAAGGATAGAATTTTTGGAATCCCTGGAACCCTTTGAAGTTCTCACTAGAAGAGGTGTCTTCAAAAAGTTCTCTGGCGTGCTGCTTTTCGCGCAGGTTTTTCAGGTGGGATGGGCATCTTGAGGTCTTGTCATCTTGAGGTCTTGACCAACGACGGACACCCGCAACAAACCAAACGGGCGTTTGAACCTGTTACTTGAAGTTGTCTCCTGGACACAGCGCCGTTGACAGGACCCGGTAGCCCCTTCCGCACCCACCCACCCATGAGAGCCAAGCTCCATACCCGCAACTAGATCTCGATTCTTGGTTGCTGTGTTCGACCTCTGCAAAGAGTCTTTAGCTTTTTGTGCGTCCAATGGAAAATCCAAAAAGTCTCAACCCAAAAGTTAAAGTCCAAAGATCCGCTACCAAATAGACAGAGAGAATCGTAGCTAGGAATGACCCATGTCATTCATCCCACAAAGGAAGCTTCCCTTGCCTTGAACCGGGCTCAGCTCGCGAGCCACTTTTCAATGGAACCCTTTGCTCAATGTCTGCTCTGGTAGAAAAGTGATTCTACCCACAAGGAATTCTGATAAGGTAGTCGCAAACAGATTCAAACTGAATAGCAGGGAGTTGGTCCGAAGGAAGGGTGAGCTCGCAATAAAGCAACAAATTGCCCAGAATGTTCGGAACACCCGTCCAAAGCAACTGGAGACTTGAGTCTTGGCTCCTCAAAAATCCAACCAAAGGTACGGACTTCGCCGCAGCCCGCGAGTTGTCTTTCTTCTCAGCCCAGGAAGGCTGCGGTGGGGCAAAAATTCGGAGAGTGACACAGCTCAACAGGCATCAACGAAGGAAGCTTCGCAAAGTGTTCGGTCTTACTTTACTGGGCTGCCCGTCCGTTTTCAGGTCCCCCGCAAAAAGTGACTAATTCTTAGTGGATTTTGCCCTCTTATTGTTATAATACCCCTACCCGTTTTGTAAGCTATCCCTAAATCATTTGGGAAATCTGGACCTTCTATAGTATTAATTAAGCTATCAATATCAACATCCTCATTATCTATAATCATAATCATAATAATAATAATAGTCATAACAATAATACGAATACTAATAATAACAATAATAATACTAACAATAACAATAATAATACTAATAATAATAAACATAATAATAAAAATAATAATAACAATAATAATAATAACAATAATAATAATAACAATAATAATAATAACAATAAAAACAATGATATCAATAATAATAATAACAATAAAAAGAATAATAACAATAACAATAAAAATAATAATAATAATAATAATAACAATAATAATGATAATAACAATAATAATAACAATAATAATAATAACAATAATAATAACAATAATAATAGTAATAAAAACCACCAGCTTCTATAACTTGTCCAAAATTGTGTGGTGGAATACAAACTCACGCTTGGGTTTCAACTCGCCTTGCCGTAGATCGTGCAGGTCTACGGCCCCTCTTGTTCGGGCATCAACATGTACCCCGAAACCAAGGACGTTGAACATGGTTGTGGAAAATACGCCGGGGAGGGCTATTTTAATTTGTGGGAAGCCAACTTCCCGTTTTGGGGCCCAAAATTCATGGGAAGGGGTCAAAATAGGCGGCCAAGAAAATGTGGTTTGCTTTCTTGGTGTCCCTTTAAGCCAAGGTACAAAGGATAGCCTTGCAACCCCCACCAAATGACCATTGGGTAGCTTTTCCACGTACCATCTTCTTGGCCCGTTTTCCAACCAATGGCCATCCCACAAATGACAAGTGCCCGTGTGTCCAAGTGGGCCACGAGCATACGGTGAGAAACATTTGTGGTTGGAGGGAACCATGGGCTTGTCTCCAAATGGGGGACCCTCCAAATGGTGGTTTCACATGTTCGCCTATAGAACCAAACTGTAAATTAGGACCCCTGCAAAAAACAACAAAATTATATATGTCCTGCCTGGTGAGTGGAAAACAAAGGGGATCCCCAAAAAAATGCTCAAAAAATCAAAGAAATGTAAAAAACATGAGCAAAAGTCGGGTTTACTTGTTTCTCATTTCAGCGAAGGCCCTTTGGAGACCAACACATCGCAGCGAGAGGTTGAAGCGGCAGCCCGCCTCCGGCGTGCTGCGCTCCTTGCGGAACTGATCCTGGGCAAGCGAGGTTTCGGGTTTCGGGTTTTGTTCTGCACCTTTGGCACCCGAGAAAAACAAAAAAAAGAGGACAGGTTTCTGGAGGTACCAACACAGCCATGCGGGAAAAATCAAACCACCGCAAAGCCAGTGTTTGGCCAAGTGGAGGTTGGAAGGTTGGACAGCTGTTCAAGGAGCTGGGAATGTTGCAGACTGGGCTGCCCGTTTTCAGATCCCCCACGAAAAGTTGAGAACTTTTAGTGGGTGAAATTCGGAAACTACCACTGAACACTAGGGGATGGCTGGGGGGCACCAAGAAATGGACAGGCTGCAAGGACCCCCCTGAAAAAAAAGAAAAAGAAAGGGAGCTCCTGGGAGGTGGTGTTTTCTACAAAGCGGTGTTTCTTAGCGCTTCTCAGTGTTCTCGTTTTTCACCCCAAAAAAGAAAGAAGAAAAACAATCATATGACAGGTTGAAAGGGGCCTGAGAGGGGATTCTTCAACCCAAAAAAGGTAGATACTAAGCCTGTCCTCGGGACACGTGACCCTACGCGAACAAAGGCTCTTGGATTTGGGTCGGACCACTAACCTCTCATTAAAATTTTGCTGGGCTTTGAGCCGCGGTGAATATCCCCAACTGACATGGGAGCTTGGTGAGTAACCGACTTCCTGATGGTATTTTGGTGAGTGTGCCCCATGTCTACCGCTGATGCCGGCAATGCGATGTGTGGGCCGTACAGTGAGAGGAGTTCAATGCTACCGAATGGATCTCAAGCCCCTCTCATGTCGTTCGAAGGGGACCAACCAGAACCCACCTGCAGCCAACTGGAGGTAATCGGATTACCCCCATTTCAACAGCTCCTGGCTTAACATGTTACCCTCCGCGTCGTTGCCATTCCGAATCTCGGGTTCGTCCTCTTGACAGGGCGCCCAAATTGCCCCGAAATCCGTGCCGAAGAGAAAACATGGCGCGAGCCAGGCAGGTCGCGAGCAAACCAGCTCGCAGACAAGGAACCTTCAATCGCAGCCCTGCAAAAAATTGCGAAACTTCTGGTGGGTCAAATGGAAGCTACCCCACCCTCAAAAGCTTAGCTGAGGAGATGGCTGGGAACCTACAAGCATAGTACAAGAACCATGAGGTTGCTCGCGCCTGAATTCCCGTGTCAGCTCAGTTGGGCCACCTTCTGAATATTGACCGCAGTCTACTTCCACTCACTTCCAGGTACCAAAACCAGGCACTGCCGTTGAGTTGACAAACTCCAAATCTGTTTCTGGGTGGGTGTCTTCATCTGATGAAGACGCAAATAGTTTGGTCACTGCCCAAGGAGCCAGTACACGCTCAATATTTTCTGGATTGAGTCGAGGCCACGGTGGCGTTCTTCATAGCCCAATGGATCAACGTTTGACCTGGGGAATCCAGCTACTCTTGAGACAGGGATCCCTATATTTCCCCTTAAAACATCACCCACCAAGGGATACTCACCTTCCATGGACCAAAAAGGTGATGTTTAGCTGACAGGCGCACACATCAGAGCGAGCACCGGCCACCGGGACATTCCGTCGCCGAGGCCAAGACAAAGCCAAAACAAAACCCCGGCACTTATGGCCGAGGGCAAGACGCACTCCAAGGAGGAGCGACAAAGGAAGGCAACCAAAGAACAGGGCCGCGGCCTGGGCGGATCATCACACCAAGCCGAAGCACCGCAGAGGAAACCCCCGGCAGCGGCCTTTGCCGGAGCAAAAGGCGCAAAAAAATAAAGCGAGACAAGGGCGGGCCGTCACACGAAAAGTGTTTGTCAGGGACAAGCCAAATTCGGGTCAGGCCCGCCCTTTATAGCATGCGGATATCAGAACCGACAAAGCATCACGTAGCCACAAGCTCATCGCAACCGGCTCACCAGCTCAGCCTGCACCACGCTCCAGAAGCTGGAGGCGCAGTTCAAATGCGGGGCACCATCCGGCAGAGTCTGTGAGAGAGAACATCAGGAGGTCAAGTGCAAGGGGTTTCGGTAGCCCTCACACATGTTCACGTCCAGCAAAGAGGTAGCCGAAGAGCACCAAATGAACTGGGAGGAATCGCACATGTTCAAAGAAGTAGCAGAAATGCTCGCCCACACGGCCACATAGAAGGAAGTGCTCGACCGTAGCCACGTAGGCGAGGAAGAAGCCACAACGCAAATCCAGGTAATCCACAGAGCTCTCATTTCGGACAAAACTGCACACCACACCGAAAAGGACGCTCTCCTGGCCGGAAAGTTGATCATGAAGACGCAGCGCCCCGCCCAGGGGAAGGCGGGTTTTGTGGACGTCCGACCTTCCATCGGAGGAATGGCGGGACCCTGGGGCGCGACCCCCTGAGGCAAATGGCTTTTGAGCCGAGATGCCTAAAAAAGGTGATGTTTAAAACCACCAAAAAGGGAAACATAGGGACCCCTGTTGAGATGGCCTTGTGAGGGTTTCCAAGCACGTAGCAAACCCATAAACCAAGCTATGGGAAGGATTCACGCGCTTCACACGGCCACTCTCAGAGTGAGGCGTCCAGCACTGCGAAGACCTCAGGGAGCTTCAGCTCAATCTATACATGAGGGTTGATCAAAAGGTGCTCTACCACCAAAAGATGACTTTCGCCACCAAATGGGACAACTCACTTTGGGGCCAGGTGATCGAAATATTCGCCCTTCGGCCGCTTTTTCTAGCCATGAGAAACTGGATCCCCTTTAGTGTTTGAAAGATCATCTGTTCAGTAACTTCCAACCAATGGACATCCCAGGTAAAGGACCTTTTGATCAACCCCGACCCACGCCGACCCAAAAAAAAATGGGCGGTCCACTCGGCTGACCTATGAGCATGTGCCAGTGGGGGGGTCCTCCGGAAACCTGCCGGAGTTCAGAATGGGCGAACCCCGGGTTTGGTGCAAAACAAAACAGATGAAGAAGGCGACTCTCCTGAAAACTGTGATGGAACCGGCGAAAAAAAACGCCGAGTTGTTGGAGAAATGTCTTCTTGATGTACCCCCTTGCGGCGGGGTCCTTCTGTCAACTTGCGGTGGTCCTTTCTGTGGGGAAGAACATTTGTGCGGAGAAGCACGGGCCTTTGTCGGGAAAGGGTTTAGGGCTTGGGGGGGCCTGGAACCCCAAGTCCAAAAGCCCAAACCCAAACCCTAAGTCCAAAAGCCCAAAAACTTCCGCCAGCAGTTGTCTTCATCATTCCCCCCTTGATCTGGGGATTGATCAGAAGGGCCTTTAGGGCCTAAGGGATGACCATGGGTACATGATTTTTCAACCACCAAACGGGAAAGTGACCCATGTACAAAACTGGAGCTTTTCAGGGGAAAACATTGATCACCTGGCCCCAGGATGACCATGAATAACTTGTCTCACGTGGTGAAAGTTGTTTTTTAGCGGTTCCCTAATGGTCATCCATTTCAAGCACGCCTGGTCATCCCATGTCCGAAAGGATCCTGGAAATTAGGACCCCAGCAAAACACTCTATTTTTTGCCTGGCTCGTGGAAAACCAAGGGGACCCCAAAAAAGCAAAACGCTAAAAAAGGCTAGGTCCTCCAGTAGAGACGTTCGAATATGGGTACCCTTTTCTCTGTAGTCTATTTTAGTAGGGGAACCCAAAACTCGAAAAAAGTTGCTAAAAGGGCACTACTGGGGGACCTAGCCTCTTTCCCAACATGGACACCACTGAACCAACAGCCTGAAAGACCAAAGGGGATGGGACTCACCAAACATGCTTCCCCTCTTTGCAACGAACATGGAAGTGGACGGCAGTTCCCCTAGGCAACGTCTGCAGCGAAGTCTGAAGGGAACTCGCGCAAGCCGGTGGCGTTTCGCTTCGGCGGCCTCCAGGAGCTCCCCTGCGGACTCCGCCTTGCGGCAGTAGTAGCTGCCGGCCCCTGTCGAAGCTTCGGCGCTTACGACCCGCGCTTCATGGTGTCAAGCCCCGCCCGTGGAATGTGTGGGGCCTCTCGGAGCACCAAGAAAATCCACAGACATCTAGGGGGCCATGCTTTCCAGCGATCCTTCTTTTCAGAAAACCAGCAGAAACATAGGTGAAACAGCGGGTTTTGGAAAAGATGGTTGAAAAGAATGGTTGGAATCAACCCCTAGAATACAGTTGTTCAACCAGTGGAAGAGTTCCCTACAGCAAAGCCTGGGTGTTGACCCCCCTCCACAAAAAAAGAGAAAGAAGTCCGGTTGAACACGAAGAAAATCAACCTACATTTATCTGGGAACCCCTTCCCCAGTTTGGACACACAGAAGGAGCCAACAGCAAGCCCTGGATGTTGACCCACCCCCCCCCCCCCAAAAAAAAGAAAAAATACGCCTTGTGGATCTCCGCAGGCCGGGAACCTTTCTGGGAACCCTGCGGAACCCTCCCTAAAAGCTGCCCCAAATGAAGAATCCAGAGCTGAATCAGTTGTGGGAAAAAAACAAAACAAAAAACAACAAGCGCCAAGCCACCCGAATTTGATGGGCCCTCACTTGGTTGACGTTGGAAGGGGAGCAAAATCTAAACTTTAGCAGTTAAACGGTTGGATTTCAACCACTAATTAAACCACAATAAGCCAAAATGCAAAATGTTTCCCAACAACAACAATGCTCAGGGGTCGCAGACTTCCAACCAAATCAAAAGTTGCAACCAATTGACTGGCAAACCAATGACGGGTGACCTGTCGGACATTGAAAACGAAATGACTAAAGCCCAAACTCGTGGCAAATTTCAACCATTTCTAGGGGGAAGTCGGCAACTATTGGGAGGTGCCGAGTCAAAACATCCTTTTTGGTGCGTGCTGAAGGGAAACACTGGTGAGTCAGAATCAAAACCTGGCATTAAAATGGTCTGCCCAAAACAATGTAAAGAATTAACATGGTCGCACCTAGATATGATGATATGGGTTGGGACTATCCCTCACCAACCCTTCATCTCGGGTTTTGATTGTGGCCCAGGTAAACTCTTTCATTCCCCGAAAGCTTTCAGGAGAGGGGGGGGGGCCTGGCCTCCATACCCTTTCTCCCGCCCAAAATGAACGCCCCCTGCCACACATGAATTTCCGTTGGGGGGACCCTGTTTCTCTCCCAACCGAAGCCGGGCGCAGATCGAACTTCGTTCGATCTTGTGAAGTCGCGGCTGTGACGAATCCACTGAGGCTTCAGTGCGAGCTCTGGAAAGTGGCTACACCCTTGAGCATAGGTGGCCTTTTGGAAAAATAGATGGTTCCGGTAAATGGAATAAACCCCATTTAAGCCAGGGATCGCCCTCCATTTTTGGAGCAAACCAACCAAACAGGACACCTATGCCCTTTGAGGCTGGGCATTCGGTTGAGCTTTTTGAGCAACGGCCCTCGGAAACCCAGCGACGGTCGGTTGCCCTGTCCGTCCGTTGAACGGTGGACGACTTTGGGTCTACCTCGAGGAAACCAAGTGGGTTGCGAAAGCAACCCACCGTGGAAGTCCCCCCGTTTGGCGGGGCTTCCGAAAGACTTGCCAAATGGCCCGAGTAGGCCATATCCACTTCGCGCCGAGGATTCTTTGTCAGTCATAGGGCTTCGTCCATTGCGCCAGGGTATTCGTCGGTTGAACGCTGCGACAGGTTTTTAGCTGAATTAACGTTTTGAACGCCGGGGGCAGGTGATTCTCCAACACGTCCAAACAGCTCGCGTCATGCGAGCAGCTAAGTTGGTCTCTGACCCGCAACAAGTCAAGGCGTATGCTTATGGGGGATTGGAAGCGATCCCTTCTCGTTCATTTCATCTGCCTCTCTTCGCGCAAAACAATTTAGTAGACTTACATGGTACTACTTGTCTCTTACCCGTTTCTCAGAGGGCAACATAAAAAATCAAAAGAGAAATCAAGAGCCTGTCTTCAGACAACCCTGTCCCTGTGCCAACAGCACCCTTCTTGTTCAACTTGCAAGCAATAGAATCCATCGGTGTTCATTTAGTTGAAACCAGAAAGGACGGACTATACCCATTTGGCGCTACACACCCGAAACCTCATGCTCGGAAGACTCCAATTGACCAAACAAATATGACCTGTTGTCAACCCTGGATGAATAAACCCCTGTTTATTTAAATGGGAGGGGTGTCCAATTCTGGGTTTAATGGGGATTCAGGGACCCTAAACAGGGATCCTTACATTATATACCTGAACATTGCCTTGTAAATGGCGGTGTTCCCTTTATTTTGGTGTTGAAAAAGCCACATGTTTCACATGGTTGCATGAATTTCTTTTCAGAAGCCCTGTTCAGTGACCCTGGAAAAAAAAAAGAAGGAACCCTTTCTGGGGCTACCGTTTTCAGTTTTTTGGCCGCCAAAAAAACAGGGGGAAAAAGGACTTGGTGCCAACTGAACCGAGTCCAAAAGGAGCCCCGGATCAATGAACCGGTGGCTTCCTCCTGGGCCGCGCTCCGCGGAGTCCAGGCCTTGGGCGGGCTTCAGCACCGTGGGGAAGCGCCAGGGCTTCTCCAGCACCGACTCCAGCTGTGCCTCGGACGAGCTTCTTGGAAAAAGGCTGCGAAACTCGGGTGCGAAATCTGCTCCCCTGCGAAAAGTTTGACCGACTTTTTTTTTGCGGCTTCATACGGAAAACCCAAATTCGTTGGCAAGAAGTTGAACTCCCAGCATCCAAGCAAAATGTATCAAAGAATTTATAAAAGGGTCCTGATTCTGAACAGTTGCTCTTGGGGGCGGGTCCCAGCCATGCAGTACAGCCCTGGCTGGGGAAGGCTGGGAAACCCTTTGGTTTTTGAAGTAAGCTGCTCTTTTCCTACAAAAGAGGCCTGGTCTTTCCTTCAGAGGAGCGATTTGAGCCCATCGACACCTGACGCGGTGATGTGAATGGTTCTATCATCTGACAACTCACCTCTCCTTCACCCTATTCTAGGATGGATGTTGAGGCTTGATAACCCCAAAATAGTAATCACGCGGAGCATGTAATCTCGACAACAAATTGACTCCACTGAATAAGTCGGGGGGAGTATTCATCAGGGGTCAGTATTCTTCTTTCTCAGCACCCTAGCACTTTGAGGGTGGAATGGCAAAGCCACGCTCCGCGAATCCAACAGCAACCCAGAGGGAGTTATCCTCTACGTGGGTCCCTTTGTTGTTGTTTTTACTTCCTGAGTGGACTCGCCAAAAAAAGTATAACCACACTTGTTCCTCACATTAAAATGATCCAAGCCGAAAAGGTGACCAACTAAAAGCTAAAAAGCTGGAGCCGCCGGGAATTCCATTTGCGCCTCGTTTTGGATGCCGGCGAAGCCGGGCACCGGCACACCCGCCTGGCCGCAAGCGAGCGAGCCAAACGACGCAGGCAACGCAGCCGGCACAAGCTGTTCCTGAGCGAAAACCTGTGGATTTGTTGCTTTCTAGGTTCACCCGGCTTCACTTTCTGTTTTTTCTCCCCGGGTTGACTTTCGCGTGTCTCTTGCTTTTTTCCTGCCTGGCATTTTTGTGTTCTTTTCTCTTCCTTCTTCTTTTCTTTTGGGGGGGCCAAATCGCCAGCCCTTGGAACTGCAGAAGGCGCCTGATCAACTCAGCTTCCCACTGGGTGGCTAGGAGCCCGGTCGCCGGGGTGTCCCTTCCCAGCAATCCAAACCGATCCAAACATTTCCAAACTCGCTGCTGATCTTAGCACAGTTGGGCATACCACGTGCTGAGGTTGCTTCTCTTTTTGCAGCTAGTCACAATCAATCCGCCAAGTGGAGGCTGATCAATGATGAGTGCAGAAAAGGAGACACGGAATGCAACTCGGCGGCTTTGCGCGCAGAGAAAAGCCGGACCAAACGCGAAAACACGAACGAGCGATGAACGGGCCTTCAACGAAGAACCCGACATTCCGCAAACAGAACTTCCGCTTCTCATTTGCAACAAAAAGAAGAACGAGGCACCTTCAGCTCCGAACTCTGAAACACTCACCCAAGAGTCGAGGATTCTGAAACACTGTTGAGACAGCTGGGGCCACCTTCCCCACCACTTTCCAGCGCCCACTCCGGGCTGAAACCGCAACCGCCCTTCGTCGCCCGCTGGCCTTGGCGCAGGCCTCGCGGAACCGCACTTTGTTGCGCACCTCCGAGAAAAGACGCGCCAGGCGCCAAGCGCCAAGCGCCGCCAAGAACCCGTGCCCCCCGTTGCCCCAAAACCCCCCAAAACCCCCCAAAACCCCCCCGGATTTTGGTGAAAAAACACCTGGGGTCGATTTTTTGCCACCTCCTCCTTTTAGGGTCTTGGTGTTTTGCAACCTCCTCCTTTTGGGGCTTTAGGTTTTGTGCTAAGGTCTGGCGGCGCAAAATACACTCTAGGTGTCCATACCCTCCACCCCCCGCCTCCTCACCTCCCGGTTTCTGGCGGTCTTCCAAGATTCGGATCACTGGGTTGAGAATGGGGGAGGTACTGGAAAAATCGACTCTGTCCATGGGTTTAAGACAACACATAGTCAAAAAAGGGAACCCTGGCGGGTACCCTACGAACATGAGGTTCTTTTGGGGGTCCGCAGGCGCTTGGACCATTCTCCGGTTGGAAGGGATCCCGGTCAGCCTTTCATGAAAACTGGCGGGGAGCGTACCCATTGTTGGGTTGGTAAAAGAAACCAAAAGAGGGTCGTCAAAAACCGGAATCCTGGGTGAAGCGTTTCAACACCCAGGGCCATGGCATGGCGCACCGTGTCCAGGGGCGTGTACCGCAGGTTGAGCCGCTCTTCGCAGCAGAGATACGCGCAGATCTCCTCGGCGAGGTGGGCGATCAGGGTTCCGTTTTTGACCCAAAGTCGACTTAAACCCAGGGGTGGTTGATGTCCCCAAAAGGGAAGCCCCTGGGTTTGAGTCGACCTTGGGGTAGTAAAAAAAACGGAACCCTGTGGGAGATGCGCGTCGCTGTATTTTTTTCAGTTGGAACCGGCAGCACCTTTGTGGGTTGGTTTCAAAGGGAAACCAAAAGGAAACCACGGAGGGGTGTCGTTTTTTGAGGGTTCCGCTTCTCGGTTGGTTTTAAGTTGAAGGGACACCAAAAGGACACCAACCTGTTTTGGGGTAGAAAAAGACACACCCAAAAGCATATGTTTCTTGCACGGCTTCATCCACACCAACTGGAGGATTTGGGCCATCCACAAGAATGATCAAATTCCCTGTCATTGCCCCAATCTGAAATCCCTGTGGATGGTTACGAAATCCGTTCGCACCACTTTGAATCCATGGGAAATCATTGTTTGTTGGTTTTTAAAGGGGAATCATCTGTCCAGGGTTTCTTGGGTAGGATTTCGTCGATCCACAGTATGTCCAAGCAAACCTGAACCAACAAGCCCGGAACCAACAAGCGGCTCGCCCCCTTGGAAATGGACTGGTCAATCTGTGACATAAGATAGACCTGCACCAAGCGCAGCAGCGAAGAAGGTGACCTTTCGCAGAGATTGGTTTTCTTTCACCGTTGCAGCAGGGGGTGGGTTGAGCAAGAGCCGCCCAGCTGCACTGAATGCGAAATATACTTCGCCAAGTTGAACTAAGGGGGGACCTTCATCATGGAGCTCGTTTTAGAAGCTGAGCTTGCCATAAGTGCATTTGGACGCGACTCGAGCCAAAAATCACCGAATCAAAAACAAGTGGGAAACGCATGGTTGTTGATAAGAACAATAAACAAAGGAAAGTGACGCATCACTCTCCTTTCATCCACCAAGGGAAACCATGAGAAATACATGAACAGGGCCCTTAGTGGATTTAGAGAGCCCCCCCTATCGACTGACCGGGGGTTGGATTTGCGCCAAAGCCGTAGCTTGTTAGTCGGCATGTCGTCAATGGGACTGGTGCACAACTCTGCTCAGCCAGCATGGATTTCGACTTAGAGGCGTTCAGTCGTACTCCAGCAGATAGCTTCTTTTCTCCAAACAGGGATCCCGAAGTCGAGAAAACAGGCAAACCTTGGGGGCCAAAAGCCAAGGGCTGCCTCCAGCTCCTTTGTGTCTCACGCCGGAAGCCGAGCATCGATGCCCCACTCATCCCAGGTCGTACAGCCTGCGGGAGTCTGCAAATCCCATGCGTGCGAGCATGTGTGCGGCGCGTGGGTGCCTGGGTGAGTGCGTTGGGGGGTGGGGTGGGGTGGGGTGGGGTGGGGTGGGGTGGGGTGGGGTGGGGTGGGGTGGGGTGGGGGTGGGGTGGGGTGGGGTGGGGTGGGGTGGGGTGGGGTGGGGTGGGGTGGGGTGGTGGGGTGGGGTGGGGTGGGGTGGGGTGGGGTGGGGTGGGGTGGGGTGGGGTGGGGTGGGGTGGGGTGGGGTGGGGTGGGGTGGGGTGGGGTGGGGTGGGGTGGGGTGGGGTGGGGTGGGGTGGGGTGGGGTGGGGTGGGGTGGGGTGGGGTGGGGTGGGGTGGGGGGGGTGGGGTGGGGTGGGGTGGGGTGGGTGGGGTGGGGTGGGGTGGGGTGGGGTGGGGTGGGGTGGGGGGTGGGGTGGGGTGGGGTGGGGTGGGGTGGGGTGGGGTGGGGTGGGGTGGGGTGGGGTGGGGTGGGGTGGGGTGGGGTGGGGTGGGGTGGGGTGGGGTGGGGTGGGGTGGGGTGGGGTGGGGTGGGGTGGGTGGGTGGGTGGGTGTGGGGGTGTCTCAAATGGGAGACCTTTTGAAATGATGGTTCTCCTGTTGTTTGCCCCGAGAAAACCCAAGGCTATTGGTATGGGCCTCTTCAGCACCTTTGGCGTGCAGAGTATGTTGGTTCTACGGTTTTCCCTTGGAAGGTCCAAAGGCCTTTTGGGGAACACTGGCCCATGTAAGCTTCTGGCAGAAGATTGCAACTGGTTTTCGACCCTGTCGATTACGTTTAAGCGGTTCCCCTACTAAAGCCCTGGTGATGCCGGCTGGATGCTGACCGTCATTTTCTTAACCGTGACAATCAAAACCCTCGACTGGAGCTTGCCGCATCCTTGGCTTCTGCAGTCAAGGCAAGTTTCAGCTTCTTGCTTTCCGATGGAGCTTTCTTCCACTTCCGGCCCGGTAGATCAGAACGCCTCGAGTTGGGCAAGTTTGGGCATGTGTCCGGTTGACGAGCCTATGAGTACTGTCAGTATGAGTACTGTCAGGATCAAGCAAGTTGATTCTTCACACATTTGCCCTGTCGACGTTCCGAAGCACACCGTCTCATGTCGGCCTGCAACAACACATCCACTTGCGTCACTCGCTGGGCGATGAACTATGAATTTTTGACGCCGGCTGACTGCAAAAAGTCGAGTGTGAAGGCCGCGACATCTACTTTTGGGAAGCGGGAAAGCACTAAAGACATCTACTTGTTGTCAGCGGCAAAGCATTTTCTTTACTAAAGCACTGGTGACGCGGGTGTGGCGACATCTACTTTTCAGCGGCGTTCCAAGTGTTTGCCATGAAGCGAGAGGCGGACACCCTCAAAGCACCCACAACATGGCAGAGTCAGAGTCAAAAATCACGACGCGCTTCGGTGGCTCTTGCATGTGTGCAGCTGTCTCATTGAAAGGGTGCGTTCGCCCACCCAGCATCAAAACAACAGGTAACTGGGCTGCCCCTTTTCAGATCCCCCGCTAAAAGTTGACTCAACTTTTAGTGGGTGAAATGGAAACCACTAAACACTAAGAGGATCTAAAAAGCTGAGGAACCGGATGCCTGGGAGCCAAGCAAGCGGGAGCTACGTAATTGCCCCTTAAGCAGTCAGCGAACCGACAAGTTCTTCTCGGCATGACAATCCTTCAGCTCCTGCAGCTGCCGAATTATTCCTCTCAAGTTCCATCTCGGGAAGAGCCTACTCTCCCACAAGTAGAAACAAATGACCTTAAAGTGGCGGCAACATGCGGTCTCATGTTGACGCTTGTACTAGTTTGTATATGTATATATATTGCGTGGTAAAGTTCTACAAAACTAAAAAGTAATGCTGAGGAGTACATATATAACTATAATATGTGGTAATACTTAATAACACTAAGGTATTAAATGATCGTCCAAACCTCAGTGCTTCTCAAGTAAATCTGCGCCAATGTCTCTATTTCACCTAGTCCTTCACCTTGTCCGACCCATTGGGATGACCTCGAGCGAGATTCGCCCACCATTTCTGCAGGGAAGAGAAACGTGACGTGAGCCGAACAGAGTCTTCCCAAAGGGCCTGTTACTTGAATTTAGGGTTGGTCCATCTCATTTTCCGGTGATCCATGCTTGGTAAACCACCAAAAACGGGACCTGTGAGGTGAATTTAGGGTTGGTCCAGCTCTTTTTCCGGTGATCCATGTTTGGGAAACTGCCCAAAGAGGGACCTCAAGGGCCTTTGGAATCGAGGAAGGAAGGAACCAATGATGCCGTTCGGGGAAGAAAAAACAAAAAGGGACCAAAGCCTCAGCCCAAGGATCTTGCGGATTGCAACATTGAAGAGACCCCCCCCCTTTTCGGCTTCTGGCGAAGCGGCTGTCCCTTTTGAGGGGATTTATTCTTCACGTTTGGGGTCGGCAACCCTCAGGTTCGGCCTCTGCATGTTCATGGAACCTCAAAACAGGGGTCACTGGATTTCCCCTTCGGAATTGGCCATTTACTGGTGGGTTCCCTTGTTTCTGCCACTTTGGCTTCCAAAAAGGGGCATGGCTCGGAAATGTCGGAGAGAAGGAGGATTTCCCCTCTACTCAAAAATTCCTTCGGGCGCAAAAGAGACTCCTCTACACAAAAATGTGTGTGTGTGTGTGTTTACTTTTGTCTCCAAAAAGCAACTGGCTCCGGGAAATGTCGGAAATTTCGGAGGAGCAGGATTTCTCCTCTACCCAAATGGTTCTTCATTTCTTCCCATCAGAAAACCCGGTCGTTGGAATTTTCCTGCCTAGCACCCGCTCATCACTGCAGCCCAGCCACTGGGAAACCGCCTGCAGCTGCCGAGGCATGGTATTAGGTAGGGAAGGACATCATGATCCCGAGAAAAACCATCCAGGTGGGCTTCCTTTAAGGGGACTCCGGGTGAGTCAAACAAGAGCAATGGAATGAGGTTTCCTTTAATGGACCCCGTTTTTGGTTCATTCCCACCACCCGGAAGGGACATTCCCTACTGGCACCAGAAGGTTGTTGCCCTCGCGAGTAAAAGACCCTTGGTGCCCACACTGAAAAGATCTAAAAAGCTTTCTGGAATCTCCTACGGAAAACAACTACGACGCCTATGGTGGACATGGGTGAAAGAGAGAGATTTTGGGGTGTTAGCTGAAATTGAGTGAGCCATGCCCCCAACAGCCGAGCCCACCCCGATCAATCCGGCGAGCCATATATCAGTCATTGTAATGTACGTAGCTGGAAGGCTGCCCTTATGGGGCAAGTTTGGTGCGAGAGGAAACCAGTTACCAGCTCTTGGGGAGCATTTCTCCTAGGAAGAGTCTGATTTTGTCAGGTTCGGGGAAAGATGACACGCCAACCATTTTTGGACATGACTTTGGCACATCGGGCCCCCCCCTTGAAGTTGGATCTGCAATATGTCAAGCAGGTGGCCCGGTGTGACCCGGCAAAAAACGGAGCCTGCACACTTCCATGTCATGTGAAAGGGTCCAATCCGCGCAAATGCCAAAAAAAAACGCGGCTCAAGCATCACATCAAAAGAAGACTCCAAAGGTCCTACAGAGCGAGCACGCGAGGCTGAATCGACCGGACCGGATCCGCGCCTCCCAAGCGTCATGGAGCGCGAAGCCTAAGGAAGCATGTTGGGTTCTCAGGACTTGTGCACATTGAAGGTACCCTTTGCAGGTTGTTTCACAGGGGAAAGCAAAAAAAAAGCCGCCATTTTAGGGTCCCTTTTTCCTATTGCACATGAAGGAGCACATTGAAGGAGCCTTTTCAGATTGTTTTAAATGGGAATGGGAATGCCGCCATTTTGTGGGTCTCTTTTTATGGAATCGCCTTTGATGAGCTTCGGCTTCCCTTCAGTTCCCTGGACAAGGACACGCTGATTTTGCATTGAAGTCCGGTTTTGGGTGTCGTTTTTTGAGGGTATCCTTTTTGAGGGTTCAAAGGGAAGCTAAAAGAAAACCCAGCATATGCTTTTTTTGGTGGGGGGTCGCCAAAAAAGGGCACACCCAACTGGCGGTTCTGCAAAAGCAGCTTCGGAAGAAGAACGCTTATCAATTCTCGGATCTTGAGTTCCACTCTGGTCAGGGTCCAGCGGAGCGGTTGAGGGAGCGAGGCTCCAACTTAGAGTTGCAGTGGGCAATCGAGTTGGACCGCATCTCTTGAGACAGGACTCGAGTTCCCCAAAAGCAGAAGCCCAAAGGGACACCCGAGTCCCCGTCGCATGGACAAAAGCAAACTCCGCTCTTTGCATCTTCCCACCGAACACCAGCGAAGGAAAAACAGCAGAGATGGGCCGATACTTCTTGAGAAACCGTTGCTGGGGCCGGTTCTTCTCAACTCAATGCAATGGGGCAACCACCATGTGAGGTGCCTGAATGGGGAAGGCATGCTCGTAGTGTGGAACGCTAAATTTTGAAATGTCCAGAACTGCGAAAGACCAGCCGGCACCACCAAAAGGAGCAACTAGACATCGGGCAAATCAAAAGCGAGGCTTTAACCACCCTGAAAGTGCAAACATGCGTGTGCGTCCGAACAAGACCTAACAAGGGGTTCCCTTTCTACGCCGGATCCTTTGCTGCGACGCCTTCACGCTGTTGGCACACGAGAAAATTGGTACTGTGAGACGCCCGAGGGGCACCTACAAATTGACAGGCATCGCGCCAGGGGGTCCAGGGCTTCCAGTGCTTGCCAAAACATCTCTACTCCTGGTATGGTAGCAAAAAACGTGTTTTTTTTTGCAGACCCCCAGAAAAAATGAACAGAACCGAAAAACTAAAAACCAAACAACTTGATCCAAGAACAGTGAAGAAAGCCTTCCATGGTAAAACCTAGGGGTAGGGATCCCGAAGCTCAAACTTCGGGCCCAAAAGGCCATGTCTAGAGGAGAAATTCTGCTGCCCCACCCGATTCGATGGTCCTGAATGCAGAAGGGGGGTTGCGCTCTGCGGGAAACCAGCATGAAACCAACATGTTCATAAGTCGGCAATTCTTTTAGTTGAAACCAACATGAAACCAACATGTTCATGAGGGACACCAACATGAAACCCACAAAGTGACCATGGGTCAAAATCCAAATCGTACCCCCAGTGAATATCCCAATCCCCACTCAAATAGGTTCTAAAATGGGTGGTGAATTCACCTACCAACCAAAATGGATCCGCTTGGTTTTGACCCACAGCCAGGTGATGGCAAAAACCCTCAGAACGTGGAGCCCAACGCCCATCTTCCGAGCCCCGGCGCCGCTCTCGTCCCCGAACTCGATCCAGGCGTGCGCCAAGTGCTTGGCCCAGTCCGAATAGGGCGACAGCCTGCGAGAAAAATATCGTCTCTTTGGGTTGTCCCATACCTCATCACTCCTCCATATGGGTCAAAAGCCTGTACCCCGGGTGAACATCAAAATAGATGGCAAATGGATGTTCATCCACCCCAACATGGAGCCATAAGATATGACCCATGGCCATATTCCCCAAAGGGTTGGGTTACAGGCAAACAGCTTATTTAGGAGTGTTGGGGCCATTTCCTGTAGATAACCAAACCCTTTCACCATATGAATCAACCCCAGCTTGCTCATATGGGGGGTGTTCCCCTCCAAACGTGATGCTTCCCCACTCAACCAAGGGATGGACGAAATCCATTTCGAACCACGATTTGAATACATGGTTGCAGCCATTGTTTGTTGGTATCTCGGCAATGATCATACAAGGGGTTCTTCGGTGGTGCAGGATTTCATCCCTCCACAGTATCCTCCCCAAACTAACAGTCAGCTGATCATATTCTTAGCCCTTGCGAAAACATGTGTCCAACTGGACGCTGACCTTTGCGTGTCTGTGTGACACAGAGAGAGAGAGAGAGAGGAAAACCTTTTAGGGGGCTATGTGTTCACTGATACGGGCGGGGTGCCCTATCTGAAACCCCTGTCGCAAGAGAGGGACCCTGATTGATGTCCAGCAAACCGGGACAAACAAAAACAGGCGTGATTGATGACCATCCACTGCTGTCATGTGACCTCAACCCAGGGATGAATCCTCGAATGGGAGAGGAATGCTACGTGTATCTTCCGATCAGGTCGTTGGTCTTTGAACCGAGACAAATGCTGAAAACTGCTTGCTGGCGCGTTGGGGATGATTTCTCCAGAACTGACATGAACCGATGCCGCGATCTGGCCGGAAAAGGCTGAAGCCATCAACAAACAACCAGCGAAGCAAGTTCGTCATCTCGACGGCCAAAGCAATATGAAGGGGGAGGCCCCAACCAAAAGTGGTCAGAAGCGGACACCCCCCTATTAATACACTGGGGTTGATTAATCCGGGATCAACTTTATCGTAAATTCTGAGACATGCCAAAGCACTCGTCCTCGCAGCCAACATGACTTGGCCGACAAACTTTGCAAGTCCGCTTCGCCTTTTGGACAGAGGTCGGTCACTGGAATCAAAAAATGAACATGGGCTTCGGATGGCAGGTGTCCTTTCCCCTGTCAGGAAAGCAACATGCCAACTCAAAGAATTGTCCCGTCGAAGGGAGCTGGAGTCTGTTTGCTCCTCTTTCCAATCATTTAATTGGACAGGAGCTTTGGGAAAACCTTGTTGGAACAGAACTCCTTGACCATGTCCGTCGGGCATGCGTTTCGTGTTGTTTCTGTCCCCCCACCTTTGCAGCCAACCCAAAAGGCAGCGGGCGCAGGTTAGAGTGCCCAGGTATGTCAAAATAGAGGCTAGGACCGCCGAAACGACTGCTTCCCTGGTGGTTCCGCTTTGTATCAGCCCCGCAAAACCCAACCCCTTCTACCTCTTTTGTTGCTTTTTTTTAATATGTGGCCAATACATCCGAAGAAGAACCCTTGGAGAAAATCCACCACCCACCTCCCCCTTGCCAGTATTGTGTTTTTGTTCTTTTCTTTTTTTTAATATGTGGCCAAACAAAAAACCAAGAAAACTCTTCTCCCCCTTCCCAGCTCCCCTCCCACCTCCCCCTCCAGTAGAGAGGCAATAAGGCGACCAATTCTCTCTGTCTATTTTAGAGTGGGAACCCAAAACTCCCAAAAAAAAGTTGGTGAAAGGGCACCAATTGCTGAATTGCACCCACCAAAAAAAAAGTTCGTCATTTTAGAGTGGGAACCCCAAACTCCCAAAAAAAAGGAAAGAAAAAAAGGAAGGCGAAAAACGGCCAAGGGGCATTGGAAGACCTACCACCCACCTCCCCCCTCCCACGCCCGGCCGAAGCGACCCTCCGAAGCCTTCGGGGCACCAGCACCGCCAGGCGCACCGGCGCCAGCGCGGCGCACAGGCGCCGCAGCACGGGCTCCCGCCCTAAGGATGCACCAGTCGCGAAGTCGCGAACCGAGGCGAGGTGTATCTGTATGACATATATAAGCAAAGAGATGCGAATATATATATATATAGAGAGAGAGAGAGAGAGGTGTTTGTGTGTTTGTTTATCTATTCATTTATTGACTTAGAAAACTATTTACTTTGGGTGATGATATCTCAGAATCTGGTGCGATGTGTATGTGTAGTTGCATTTGGAGATGTCTTTAGGGATGTCTTCGGAATTTTCTCTGGGGTTGTCTTTTGAAGGGGTCTTGGCGGCATGTGTGTGGGGGACAATATCCGTGGGTGTTTCTTTGGGGATGTCTTTGCGCTTGTTTGGGGATATCTTTGAGGGGGGGTTCTTCAGGGACGTCTTTGCGGCTGTCTGGGTGATGTGTTTGGGGATGTCTTCCGAGGGGTTCGTCGTTGGAGGCCGTCGTTGCGTTGTCTTGAAGGGGGGCTTTTGGGGATGTCTTTGGAGATTCGTCTTTAGAACATGTCTGTGAACTGTGAACATATCTTCTCGGGATGTCTTCCGCAGCTTTGTTTAGGAACGTCTTGGGGATGTCTTGAAAGATGTCTTTGGGGCTGACTTTGGGGCTATGTTGGGGCGCTTGCAGGATTTCTTCGTATATGCTTTTGGACATGTCTTTGGGAATGCTCTGTTCGTGAGGGCATGGGGTTGCGCATGTCCGCGTTTCTGCATTCGTGGTCTCTATCAGGTTCTCTGGGCGCAAATCAACAAATAACATCAAACAGCAGCCCTGAAATGCCGCGAAATGCCTTGTTAAATCCATGTTTGCTGAAATCTGCATGTGATGTGAGCCACAATCAAAAACCTGGTACTAAAATGGTTCTACCCAGAACCAATAAGGAAGTAGAAAGGTGGCTGCACCCATTCATGGTTGGAATTATCCCTTACTAGCCTTTGTCTACCCGAATCTTTTTTGAGCAAGTGGCTCATCGCAGAAAACCACTTTGCACGTACCTCAAAAGGGCTTTGAGGACATCTGAGGGGTGAGGCGGATCGCGTACAAGAGGGCAGCCATCATGTCTGCATCATCAGGGATGGGTCCTCTAGGTTGTAACTGGTTTGACATGGGCAAACTATGCAACAACCAAAAGAACATATATATTCATTTATCCTGCGTGCACCCTCTGTAGGCCATCAACACCATTTCTGATAAGTAGATCTGGTCAGCACAAAAACACTATGTTCATAGAAACAAGAAAACAAGGTAAAACATAAATGCTCTGCACTACACAAATAATACTGTCGCGTGATGAAAGGGCAATACTTATGCACTGCATCAATCCTGTCCAGAGCGCAGCTTGCACGGTTTCAGGTGCGATCGCTACACACCCCGCTTTTTGAAGATGCGGCTTTCTTTAGTGGTAGCGAGGCTTAGCTAGATGCCAGTGTCACTACTTAAAAGGGCTCGACTGGTGCTTGGTGGTCTTTTGTGCTTGTAATTCTCCTTCTAAGATGGCCCTGGTAGATGATTAAACCGCCATTTGGGCGTGGGTCAAAATTAAACCACCAGGGAAACCGCTGGTTTTAGTCTTTGTTTCCATTTGCCAGGGTTCCACGTTGGGTACCTATTTTTGACCCACCCCCGTGTCTTCCATCTCGAACAAATCCGTCTCTTTCAAAAGTGAAAGTCAGTCCCAGGCGCCGCTTCTGCCCGGGAGCACGATCAGCAGCGCGCCATCGCCTGGATCAGATGCCCAGCGGCCCAAACAAACGGAAAAAATGGGCACCACTTGGCAACTGGGGACAGGCTACAGCTCACTTCAGAACCAGAGGACTCGAAAAGGAAAAAAAGAGGTCCAGGAACCCTCCATTTGCTTCAGTCCCCTGGCAAAAATGAGCAAATATGTCCAGTAGTCATAGATTCCCTTTAAAACCAACAAGGGAAAATATGGAAGGAACAAAAATTATGTTGCCACTAAAATGGTTCAGACCCAAAAAGTTTAAAGTCCAGCCACTCAGGAAGTGAGACGAAGGTGATGATCGAAATCACCATGTAGGACAAGAGACAAGACGCAATCTAAGATAAAGCAAGGAGCAGAGAGAAGTTGGAAGGTTGCACCCCCCTTACATTTAAGCGCAGTGAAGCAACAAAACCAATGAACATCTATACCCTCCCACCAAACATGGAAGTGCAAAAAGGCCCTTTTATCAGAGGAAAGTAGTGTCCTTCTGGAGGGGTCTGTGCACAAACCCATGTTCGCTGGTGAGAGGGTATAGATTTTCAGGTGTCCGGCTTTCCTCCAGCACCTCTTGGGCCCGAAAGACGCAGGCAGCAAAGCCCCAACCGACTTTGAAAGCACTTCCGGAGCACCTTGCCATCTACATAGCGTCGGCAGATGTTGGGGGAAGAATCCTGGTGCTTGGCATTTCGGGTGTACAGACTGGCCGACCTGCGCCCCCCCTAAGCATGACCCCAACAAAAGGCGCGTGGAAAGTTGCAAGCTGATGTTTCACTTGCTCCTCTGAAAAAATGAGCCCTACAAAAGCCGTCCATTTCCCATGGCTTCCTTTCAGGGAATCCAACCCAAGACCGGTGTCGAATCCAACCCCCGGAAGGCTCCGCAAATCCCACCTGACCCAGGTGCTGCGTCCATTTGGATCCAGCTGGACTCGAGGAGTCCGGAAGAGAATGCTTTGAGCTACCCTCCCTTCCGCTAACATAGCGTTCTTCTTGTAGGCACCCCCTGTTTGGTGCCATAGTGGGAGAGGGAGGGAGGGGCAGGGGCAGGGGCAGGGGAGGGGAGGGGGAGGGGGAGGGGCCCCTGCCAATATGACTTGGTGTGGTAGAGCGGAAATCAATGAATGGTTTTCCAGGTGAAAAGGCCAAGGGCCACACCAAAGGGCCACCAACAGAAAGTGAATTCAAGATTGGGGATGGCCAAAACGGGGGGGGAAACCAAAGTCAGGCGATTTGGTTGACTTTGGGCCAGCGCACCCAAAAATCAGGGGGCTCACAGGTACACCAACTGAATGACCGAGCAGGTGGTGGCTGATGGTCTTTGTTGTGCTTATCGGGATCACTTTCTGAGTGGCGGAAAGCTGTGCATGTGCGTGTTGAAAGCTGTAATTGTCCAAAAGGTCAAACCAAAGAGCAACCAAAGCTTTTTGTTGTGGCTCGTGGGTCTGTTCCAAGGTGATGCTTTCACCAGCTAAGCCTTGGGCGGAAACGCTGCGGTAAGTCGCCTGGCAGCTGCCGTGCCTTCTTGCTGCCATACAAAGTGAGAAATACATTTGTTCAGTCATGTCTTATTGCGTGACCCCCCCCCCCGCCCCCTCCCTGCTGACCCCTGGAACCACCTCAGATTCCCTGCTGAAGTTTATCTTTTAGTGGGTTAAATGGACACCCCCCCAAAAAAAAAAAGCTAAAAGGCTAAGGAACCGGATGGCTGGGAGCCACCAAGCGTAGATGCCACAATCTCTTTGTACATGGGCACCATTGATTCCATGGGGGGGCTTGCGCCTGCGAATCTACGTGCACCCTCTGCGTGGTTTGCCTAGCCCAGCTGTGAAGCACTTGGGAAGACCCACTCGTGCCGAAGTGACTCGTTTTCCATTCGGGTCTGTCCTCACCCACAACGGCATTCGTTGAAAAATGTGATGTCCTGCAAACAGTGTGAAACAAATGGGTGATGGGTGCTTTTTTTTTGGGGGGGGGAATTCCCAGAATGGTGGTTTTCCTGTTCATTTCCCTTACATCCCTTTTCGTCCCCAAACGAGTCATAGACAACGACTTTGAACCATGGCACAAGTCATTGCAAAGAAGTTTGTTTCAAAACGCGAGGAACCTCAAAGCTGATGTTTGTGCTCCCCTGATAGTTCTAGCTGTACCCTCCCCATTCTCTTCAGGCGTCCGTCTCTTCAAAGAACGGGCCAAAACCCTTCAAAAATGGGCGGTGTCCAAAGAGAACGATGGGTGAAGAGAATGGGGAATCAAACCTTCGAATAGTGAGAATGGTTGTTCAAGGCATGCTGCAAACCAAAAGCTTATCCAGATGTTCGCTGAAACATGGAATGCCATGGCCAAGTAATTTCTCACTGCCCAGCGTGAGAGAGTAAGTGGCAGTGGGTCAGGCAAAGAAACGTCCACAGCCCACAACCTTCCAGAAAAATTGGAGGCGGCAATAAACCAGCGAGTTCGCTGGGCATTGGCTTGCAAGTCTAGATTGTTCGTTCCAACTAACCCAGTGCTTCCTCTTACCACTATGGTACGTAACCAGGTAGTGTTGCCTCTAAGTTGTACATGATTGGCAAAAAAATGTAATTAACTGAAAGCACTGGGTAAACTTAAAATGGCTGTACCGGAAACTGGGTTCCGCAGACTAACATTCTCACGTTTCGCGTTAGACCAGTGTACCGAGGCCAGTATTTTGCCATCAAAGTCTGCCCCTTGTCGCCTTTCGGGACATCAGTGATTGGGGCCCTTTCACCAAAAACCTACAAGTAGCATGGCCTCAGTTTCGGATGGTTCTGACAAGCAGAGAACCAAACGAAATTCAAGGCCAACAAAGCTCAAAGCTCACAGAACAGGGAACCGCAAATCAAAGCCAACCAGCTCCTCGCAAATCAAAGGAAACGCCAGGAAAGTCAATCGAAAGTTACCCCCACCCCCCCCTCACTCCCCCATCCCCGAACCTCCCCCTCCCCCCCCCCTCCCATGACCCCTCCCAAGGACCCCTCCTCCCCCCCATCCGAAAGCTCAAAGGCAACTCAAAGGACCACCCAACAATCTCCGCCACGCTTTTCCCGCCCTTGCGGCGGCTTGCCACCAGCTGCTCGGCCCAGTCCACCTCTGTCAGTCCATCAAAACGACGAAAGCTTTGGCGTTTTGTCACCATCATTTGCCAGAATTCATGGTTCCATGCAGTATCTGGTGTGGATTTTTTGCGCATGAACTTGTTCAACACAATAACGTTGGGAATCATCCACGTGGCAAAAGTTGTTCCAACGTCAAAGAGTTCATTCCAATTCACCAGGTGGTTCCTGAGAGTCAGGGGACACATTCCAACAACCTCCAGTCTTCCATGTTTCCAATGAGCCATAACGGGCGTGATGGGAAGGCCTTAGGCCACAAAATGGCCAGTCACTCGTACACTTCTCACTCAGTTCCACGTTCATTCTCAGGGAGTGCATGTTTTTACTCTTGTCGGTCTTGCTCCAGAGACTTCAGTATGGCAGAAACAAAGGATTAGTCAAGGGAAACAGGAAGCCGAACCAATTTTCAGCTCAGGCTCCATAAATTTGATCTGCCGAAGGACCTGATAAATTAATCTTAAGCCTCTGGACATCCACATTCTTCGCATTCTGCCTCTAGGTCTTGGTTGGAGGTGCTTGCTTCACTCCGACCCGGCCTCCTCCGGCGACGCGCTGGTCATGCGCCCAACCTGGCAACGCGAGCGAACAAATTGCAAACGCGCGGAGGGCCCGCGGGTGCCAGGCAAAACAGGGGCAGCTTCTGAAGTTGGCATTGGCGGCTTTCCGCTTCAGAAACGGCAAGGATGCCAAGCGCCCAAACCTGTACTATACACCCCATACATACCCATCTGGGTGAATTATAATACTTCACCAACCTGAAATAAGGTAGTTGGAGGGGCCATTCCCCACATTAACCCCCATTTGGGGTGAGGTCGTGCGAGGTCGTCATAATTCACCCTTACGTCGTCCAAGTACATAGGGGGGGGCACGTGTTCGCCAGGTTCGCGTCCCCAAAGAGGGCTGAAAGTCCTTCGCCACTCCTTGTAGATTCTGTGAATATGACATGGCTGCGGGTCAACAATGGGTACCCAAAATTCAACAAAGTTTGGCTTCCCTGCAAATGACCGTGGGTCAAAAAGATTGGTACCGCAAATGGCTTGCCCTGGTAAATGGATATATGAAGTAAATTCCTTTTTTTTCTGGTTGTTGAATTTTGACCCACAGCCACATGGCCAATACCTGAAGCAAGAATCGGGTCCACGAGTAAAGGACCTTCATCATGTTGTTTGTGCTCGTCCCGAATCGATGAGCTTGGCCAATACATGGCAGCTCCCACCAAAAAGTTGGCCTCTTGGAGATTGTAGCATCACGATCTCTTGCTGAAACTTGCAGGGCGAGTATCTCGAAAGGGACCCTTTGAAGTTGAGCGGTTTCCTTTATGGTTTCAAGCCGTCCAAAAAGGGGAGGCCTCCAATCTTACACGCCAATGTGTCGCCATCAAAACTCCTTCTTGTGGCTCATGGTCTTCGGTTTCCTCAATAGGAATCACAAGAGCCGGTTCCTAAGGATCTTTAGACCAGGATGACCACCCAAGATGAAGGTGTCTTTTGACCAAGGCCCATGTCACTTCTCAGCCGACTGTATCTTCTTCGTTGACAGAAAAAGGGTGTCGGGCTGCTTTTTACACCCAACTGAGGCATAATCAGAGCCCATCGGCGAAAGAACTCAGAAGGCGGCGAAGGCAGCCATTGATGGCACAATCCCTTACTAACCTTCATTCACCCCGGGCAGGGCTGTGGGAATGACCACTTTGATAGAACAGAAAGGGCTTCCCAAAGACGAACCCCCCATATACAGCGGAAGATTCTCTTGTATCACAGAGGTGATAAACCAACCCTGGATCCTACAACCCTGTTTACCCAAATCTCTAGTGCCACCTTCCCCATTCTTTCCAGGGATCCTTCTTTCTAGCAAACCTCCGGAAACCCAGGGAAACGGATCTGGCTCTCGAGAAGAACGATGGTTTGAAAGAATTTCAGAAGGAATCAACCCTTAGAACTCTAGCAGGAGGAGAAAAAAACAAAAAAAGCAAAAACATCATGTAAAGTTTACATGATGGTTTCCCCTTACCATGTTTCACCATTGCGCCATTGCGCCATTGCGCCACGGCCATTTCTGCGGATTCCGCCCGAACCGGGAAACCCAAGCGAAGGCCGCGCCTCCAGTTCCCCGAGCCCAATGGGGCCATAGCTCCGCCGGTGCAGCTCCAGCCTCCGATTCGAGAACTCACGCAGCCACTCCCCCCCCCCTAGTGGCTGTCGTGGCCTTCTAGCGTGTCGCTTAAGTGGCTTGCTTAAACTTGCTGTTTTAGTGGTTTTTTCAGTGGCGTTTTGCTGTTTGTAGCGGTTGTACTGGTTTTTGTGGTTTTAGTGGTTTTACTTGGTTTTTCGTGGTGCTTTAGTGTCTTCAGTGGTTTTTGTTCGTGGTGTTTTAGTGTCTTCAGTGGTATTGTTTGTGGTGGTTGGTGTCTTCAGGGTTTTTGTTTCGCGGTTTTTAGTGGTTTTACTTTGTTTAGTGTGTGCGGGGGTCCATTTAACCCACAAGTTGACAACGAAAATCCGCGATTTGCGAATACGCCCTGGAGAAAATGAGCAAATCTGTCCGATAGTGATAGATTCCCTTTAACAACATATTATTCAGCACAGGGTAGAAAAAGTGTCGCTAACACCGCACTCGTTCCTGCTTGACCGAAGAAATGCCTGATCTCTCTCGGGTTCTCGGAACGGACTCCTGGATTCTTGGAGTCTCGAAGTCTCATAGTCTCAGAGTACCTACGGGTCATATGATGCGTAATTACCTAAGATGTATGTGACGCCTTGGCGCCACATAAGTTGGATCCCCCTGGGTGGGTTCCATGTTTGCCAGGAGGGCAATCGACCGCGGGTCTTCGCCTGGCGCTCGCTT